GTAGACTTGGTATTGTAGAGGCGACATACACTAGTCAAAGTGGCTGTAATTTTCGGGTAGTATAAGTGACCAATTCACAGCCTTTTCCGTTGGTCCGTTCGTAGATGCCGGTGCACAAAGCCAGTTGACTTTCGGACAGGTAGGAGACAAAGCCATGAAAGTCTCTTGAAACAGGTGCAATCAATCACCACGAATTTTGTGTGGGCTAGCTTTGATTGTGCCATTTGACCAAATCTAACAAAAACTATTTGTAAATTTGGGACAAACTATGGTCTTTCTAACTGATAGATGTAGATTATTGTGCAGTGCTTCAAGTCTGCGAATCCAATTATATAAGACACTGTCAGGAGTGCCTCTCCCAATATAGAGATAATGAGCTATGATGTATTACATCGAACAGAACAAAAGAACAATTCAGACGGTTGTGTGATGGCGCTCGCCCGCTCGATTAATTTCTTCGAGTTAAAAGACTCTTCTAGAAAAACCATCAATGATTCTGTTTAATGTTTCTGTTTTGTACGTCTAATGATTCTGAGTTTCAATGTATACAAAGATACAGTTTCCATCCAAGAATATAATTTCTGACTCTAAGATCAACCTTTTTATATGTGTGGAGATTTATTTGCATTTTATGTATTTCCCGTACAATTTGATGAAAACAAATATTCAAAATTTATTCAGGATTGTTCTTTCCGGTAAAAAGGTAAATTTGTCGGGGTTCTCTATTTCGGGGTGTGCATTTCTGCTGCGATCGCGTCAAAACTGTAATGAAACATTTCGATTTTTGTTTTTGATGCGATAAATCTGTTCGCCTCCCGATGAGAAAACATCTCACCCGCGGCCGAAAAAGGTGCCAGTAAATGATATTTTACTCAAAGAATGAAGAAACTCTGGTTTCAGGTGTTTTACCTATCTACCCACACACTAATCTCAACACAGCTACATTAATTGTACATTGATTTGATGCAAATTTGTAAATTGGTCATCATAAAATGCAACAATATGAAATCCTACATGACTACATGTCATTGATTATTTGGCATTGGAATCATCCGCCAGTTGACAAATAATGATCATGCAGCTTAATAACTATTCAAGTGGTGGTTACACGAATGGATGTTTTTTAAAGGTTAAAGGTCGAGCTATGCCGATTTATAGTGGACGGAACATAAATTGTATAGCAAATGTACTGGAGTCCACTTTACCAAGGTTAAACTTTTAGCTCAATGTGTAGTATATTCAAGCGAAGTGTAGAACTGATTCGATTATATGCAGGTAGGATTTGTGGAGCAGTGTTCAGTCCCCACACAAAAATCAACACAAGGCTATGAGGCACCCACAACCAATGCGTTATATATATATATCAAACCATATTCTGAAAATCCAAGCAAA